CAGGTCAGCAAAGCTTAACCTCTCTGTGCCTATAATAATTCTGGAAAGCTCTAATCTCTTTTGTTAGAACCTGTACAGAGGAAAAGGACATAACCCTGGAAATAACTGGCAATTAGACTTTGCTTACATGCCACCATGTAGGTGATTTAAACAAATATTGGTCCAAATCGACACCATTATGTAGGTTGGATCAAGGTCCTCTCTACCCATACAGAAAAGGCTACAGAAGTGGTCAAGGCATTCTTCAAGGCGCTTCTCAAAATAATTTCCTGGTCTAGGTCACCCCAGTCCCTCCAGAGTGACAATGGTCCTTTTTTTTTTAACCTCTCAAATAATTCAGGGAGTGACAAAGACTTTAGAAATAAGGTACCACTTTCATTCTGCATAGAGAGCCTGGTCATCTGGAAAGGTTGAAAGAGCCAGGCAAACCATAAAGCAAGCTCTGGCAAAACTTTGCCAAGAGACTTCTGAGTCTTGGCTTTGATTATTGCCATAGCCTTCTTGAAACTTCAAAATACCCTCCAAACTAGGCTAACTATGTGTCCATTTGAGATCCTATTTTGGAGAACTTTTCTATCTTTGGATATTGTACTGGGCCCAAAGGCCACAAGAATCTTACATTATCTTACTAATCTGGGCCAAGTACAAGCTATCCAACTGTGTGGGAACAAACTTCTGCCAGTTCTTGACCATATAGTGTCCACCCTGGAAAGTGCTCAGTAAAACCAGGGAAAAGGGGACTCCTATAGACCAATTAAAACCAAAGCAGAAGGGTCCCTTTTCAGTTATCCTTGTTGCACCCATTGCAGTAAAAGTGGCACAGACAGATAGCTGGATTCACCTTTCTAGGATAAAGACAGCCCCGCCTGAACTACCTAAGAGAAAGAACCACCCAAAAGAAGAAAGGTACTCCTGTGACCCTCTGAGAGATCCAAGGATCCTCTTCAAAAAACAAGACTGCAATACTGCTCTGGATGCCGATAGGTAGTCACTAATGACCCCCAATCTACCACACCTTAAATGGGCACCTGTTTTAGGACTCTTGCTTTTAATTAGATTCATAATATGGGCAATCTTGTTGGGGCTATGGCCCTCAGGCTCCTGGTAGTTTATCTAATATCCCCATTCACTGTGCTTTTCTCTCCACAGGAAGCATGAAAGGAAAACTCCTTAGTAAATGTCCCCTTAATAAAAGCAGAAAAATTGTGCTCAGTTTGGCAGCACATATACTAAAAGCAGAAAAATAATGTCTCTAATTGCAGAAACTTTTGTAGTCCATCTTTTAGGACAAACCAGAAAACACCTGATGCGTCTCATATTTGGCTTCTGCCCCCTCAATTTAATAGCAAAATTTGTCCATTCAAGGCTTTGAAAGATCCATCTTCAGATGATCCAGGCTACAGCCCATGATCTCCTTGACAAATTTGCTGAGCTTTCTCTGGAGAACAGGCAGCCCGACAATCCCTGGCATATAGACACCAACTCTTTTCTCATTGTCTTCTGACAGGTTCTTTCCAGGCCAAATGGTAAACTGCAACATCCCAAGATAGCCAGAGGACACATAATCCTCAGTAGATAGAACTTATTGCCTTTTTCAGCAGAAAGTAGCTATATGAAGAAAGAGACCTCCACTCCCTCCATATCCCCCCCAAAATTAGTGCAGATTACGTCTCTCAGGGAGAAATGAGGTAGGTGATTAGGGCTGGGGCCAAACTGGTCAAAGAACTGGCTGTAATCCATCAAAGTCATGGAGACCCAGGGCACATGCACAGAACACAGAACCCAGGTGGACTATAATTCCCGAGCACTGCACACCGAGCCCATGGGAAAAGTGCTTTTTCAATTCTTCGTTTACATCTGGCATGAAACTAAGGAAGTATTTGATAGTTTAAATCTGGTCCCAAGGCCAAGTGAGTATTTTGGTAGGATAACCATCCCAAGTGCCTTTTGCATGAGAGAGAAGTCAATTTAGGAATTCCAGATATAAAGACAATTTTCCTTATCCCCATGGCTGTTGTGAGTTCGTTCACTGGCCCTCTTGCATGCCACAGAGCGTACTAATTTTCCACCTTGATAAATGGACAGTGTGCTACTTCTCTGTGTGTCTTGTTCAATTCATTATTCAGGACTCCAGAAACTTGAAAATTTCCCTGAGACCCATCAAGCAGTAGCAAGGGCAGTTTCTCCAGCCAGTAAAAGCATAGGTCATTGCTCTATTCTCATTTGACTCAGTTTCCCTCCAGCTATTGGCTTCTTGGAACAAAGATGAGGATTTGTAGAGACTGAGATCAACTTGACTCAAGCAAAGAAGAAGGAAAAGAAACAGGAACGCATACTTGGATGAGGTCTCAAGGCTCTAAAGAGTACCTAGGGATGGTTGGAGCTGGGTTTGTCTGTCCTGGTCAGGAAGACAGAGGGGGAAACAAGATCTCAGATGAAGTATAACTGGCTTCAAATCCCTTCAGAGTTTTTCCCTTTTACTCTGCCAGCTTGGCAGCAGGATCCCCAACTGCATCTTCAGAAAACATGCCATAGGAAGACAAAGAAGCCAGAGTGAGGTGAAGAGAAATTTCCCTTGCAGTGTCATTCGGAAGGGCACCTGGTCCTTCTCTTTTCCTTTTCAAACAACTAAGGAGTTGCTCACAAAAAATACAAAGCACTATAGCTAGGGTGTGAAGGAAGTACTGTGTAAACTAGTCACTGGGTCTCTACATCACCAGGGCCCCAGAGCAGTTTCCCTAAAACAACAGGAGGTGGCTCCCATTCCTCCACATCATCCCCATGACTCAGATTGTCGGCTCTTCCTTAGTGTGTGGAAATGAGACAATCAGACTGCTGATGGGCCAGCTTGCTGGAAATGACACTGTGACCCCTGGGAGCCATCCTGACATAGCTCCCTGTTGGGAAGTCCCATTGGCCCTCAACCCATGTACCCTGGATGCTTGGACTGAGTGAGAAGGAAGAGGCTAAATGTCCTACTGGGACTGCTGAGAGTAACTCGCCCCTCCAATTTCCTTCAGTTCTTCCCTTGTGGCTCATCAGAGTCTGGGAGTGGGAGAAGCTGCGATCTTCAGGCATGGGGGCACTTGGCCCTGGAGTAGGGGCCACTCTTTAGCTGTCACAGCCCCTGGAACACCATCCCTGTAATATGGCTCTAGCACCCCTCCATTGTCTCCATTGCCACTCGACTCAGGACAGTGCTGCTGATGGATCTGAATTGCTTTGAGACTTGCTTTCTCCCCCACCCCCAGAGAAACTAGTCCATGTTTTTGGATTGTAGATACTTCAATAAAATCAAATTGGCATTAAAACATTAACAGAGAATTTAGTTAGCCTCCCCAAAAGCAATGTAGAATCAAGAGAGATTAAAGGAGGAGTGTTCGTAGCAGCATTCTTGGGGGATGGTAAGTTGCTCAGCCATTCTTGGAGTTTGCATACCTGGGAAATCTCATCTCAGCCAGGGTGCAAGTAAATATGCCTGCCCCATCATATCTCTTCCTGTCTCTTCCTTGACTGAGTTCAGAGTCCATATGAATATCCTTTCATCAATCTGAACCCACAGATCCTTGGCCCTATGAGCCTGGCTCTACTCAGCCAGCCACAATCGACCAACACTCAAACCATTGACTTAGTCAGCACCCTTAAAGGTTCCACCTCTAACAGCCCACATTCTATTCTCTGTGCCAAATCCCTATCTTTCAAACTCTGCCACTCTATTACATTTACTCCATCTATTCTTTATCTCAGGGTACCCCTCTGTTTGTAGAGACCATGGGGTTCTCTTGCCCGATTCTTTCTTAACCTTAGACCTTGGTCTCAATTTGGGAGGCCAAGAGGAGGAGGAGAGGGAGGCCTTCCCCTTGGTAGGTTGCTTGGAATGTGGCTGGTCCTGAGGCCTGGCTGGAGAGGGGGAGGAAAGTCAGCTGGGTTAGGGGCGCCACTGAGAAGCTTGCCACAACAATTGAGAACAAAGGCTGGATGCTCTTCCCCTGAACTCCAGAGCCTGGCCTTGGCCTTCTGGGAACAACTCCAGGAAATGGCTGAGATTCCAGATTTGGAAGGAAGAGACCTGTAAACAGGAGCTGGGCTCTAAGAGAGAGCAGCCTCTAAGCTTGTGGGAGGGGCTAACTGACATGGCAGGCTGGGAAGCTGCAGAGCCTGTCTGCAACAGACAAAGGCTCTCAAGGCTAGAAAGGTCTTTTAGGCCACCATCCTTTCCAGGACCTGAAAAATAGATGGGATGCGGAAATGGATTCAGTGATGGGATGTATAAACAATTAATGTGGGCTAACCCTTCACTTATAACACACAGGCACTGCAAATGCTGAGTATCTTTTCTCGTTCCGTTATAATTCCAGCCCAAGGTAGGCTCTACTACTGTATTAGTATACCCATTTTGCAGATCAGGAAACTGACTTGCAGAGTTAAAGAATCTGCTCAATTCAAGGTCTCACAAAAGCTTGTTTCAGTATCTCTGAGGTGAATTAAACGCACCGCGGGAATCTCCCAGCTTGTCCCAGAGGTTCAGTCCTTCCTATCTTCCATCTTCCCATCACCAGCCCCATCTGTCTCTGGGAAAATGGACCACGGAGTGACCATCCACACCCACTCCCTCCACTTAGCTTCCTTGGCCTGCAACCCCACCTCTGCCATGTGTCCTCAGCTTACTGTGCTCCCCAAGGCCCCACCTGTGGGTCTCCAGCCCATTCTAATGGGTGGCCACTCAGACACAAAAGTGTAAGCACTGAGATTCAGGGTCAAGCTTTAAACAGAGTTTGGGTGTTGAAGGGTTCAGGATGTGCGTGGAGTTACAGTGTGAAGATTCCCCTTCAGAAACCCCAAACTAGAGCTGAGGTAAACTTCAGGGCTGAAGTTGGGTCAGGGGTTCTGGCTAAAGGATAAACGTCAGAGAGTTTTTCGCCTCTGGTCTCCTCCCAGTTCTCCAAGCCACTGAGGGCCAGGCAGGAAGCATCGGTTTCCTCAAAGCCGCTTCCCTACTGGGACAGAGTCTCGGTCACAAACAACTAGAACACCCTACTCCACCCCTCCTTTCCTCAGTGCTGTGAACTCAGAGCAGCAGGACAAAGTGCCTGGGACAAGGACAGAAGGCTGAAGCAGCCATGGGCCCTGAAGGAGCTGGCCTCCTTGGGGGCAGGTGGTCCCTGCCTCTCTTGCTTCTGTTTGCCATGGGTAAGTGGAGCTCTCCCTTTCCTAGCCCACATTCCCCGACCCAAGGCTTGCCCGGAGTAGATGGGATTCCCTGGCTCTTTTGCTTCTTTCCTGCTGTAGGAGTACCAGAGATGATGGACGACAACAATGACAAAGATGATGATGATGATGTAGTGTGTGTGTGGTATGAGAGAGACAGAGACAGACAGAGACAGAGACACACACAGAGACAGAGACAGACAGCTATCCAAGCCCTGGCCTGGGTGCTATGTATACTAGTCCTCTCCTTTCCATCTAGCAAGCTTGTTATTTGTGAGTCTGGCCAATAGGCCGTCTCCTTCACAAGAGAGAAGGGAGTGGAGGTATGGGGCATTGTTGGTCGTCAGCCTGGGCTCTGTTTTCCTCCTCCCCCCACCCCACAGGAGGCACTGTTCAGGAGTCCCCACCCCAGATCTTAGTTCACCCACAGGACCAGCTGCTCCAGGGCTCCGGCTCTGCCAAGATGAGCTGCAAAGCCTCAGGCCAGCCACCCCCCACCATCCACTGGCTGCTGAATGGACAGCCCCTCAACATAGATATGGACCTATACCACCTCTTCTCCGATGGAACCCTTCTCCTGCTGCGGCCCCCCACACAGGGACGAGTTCATGATGACCAGGTCCTGTCCACAATCCTGGGTGTCTACACTTGTGAGGCCAGAAACCGGCTGGGCACGGCAGTCAGCAGGGGTGCTCGGCTGTCTGTGGCTGGTAAGGCCTAGGAAAGGAGGCACAGGGTAGGGCAAGCCTGGTCTGAGATGTCTATGTGAGGGGGAATCTGTGGGGGAAAGCTTGGTCTGGGGCACTTGGAAGGAGAGCTGGGTTGGACCTGCTCTATGGGGAAGGCCTGGGAATAGGCAGACAGAATGGAATGGGACTGGCAGGAGGTGTCAAGGCAGGACTCTGGGAAGAGGAGGCCCTGATCCTGCTCCCTGGTGATCCACTATCTGTCCCACAGTCCTCTGGGAGGATTTCCAGATCCAACCCCAAGACACAGTGGCCCTAGAGGGTGAGCAGGTGATTCTGGAATGTGGGCCTCCCTGGGGCTACCCAGAACCCACAGTCTCATGGTGGAAAGACGGGAAACCCCTGGACCTCCAGCAAGGGCGGCTCACGGTGAGTGGAGCCCCATTCCTACACTTCATCCTGTCCTGAGCACGAGTGGGCGCACCTTGAGGACTGGCCTTGCCAGCCCAGTGTCCTTTGGGAGAATTTGAAGCAGGGAAGGCACTGAGGCCTCCAGCCATCCTCTAGCCCACAGCCTCTCCTTCCATGAAGACATCACAATGTACCTGGCCCTCTTAGGTATCCAGCGGCTCATTGCTGATGTCAAGAGCAGAGAAGAGTGACACAGGGATCTATATGTGTGCAGCCACCAACATTGCAGGACAACGGGAAAGTAGAGCGGCCAGGGTATACATACGGGGTAAGAGCAAGGGGCCAATTAAAGTCCAGGGCGGGCTGGGGATTTAGCTCAGTGGTTCCGCTGCCTGCCTGGTAAGCTCAAGGACCTGAGTTAGATCCCCGGCACCAAAAAACAAAAAACAAAAAACAAAAAAAAAACAAATAAAGTCCAGGGCAAGATAGGAGGCTCCACTTAGGATGGGATGCTCAGATTTGGGCTGGGATTAGGATATGTGGGGCTCAGCTTGGGATAAGGGTCTGAATGGTGGGGACCCCACCTGTATACTAGAAGTGAAACAGGAGTGCTCTAGACTTGGGAATTCGGTGAAGTTAAATTCATCTGGGGGATGCCCCACTCCTCCACCCCTTCACACTGTCCTGCAGGCCCCATCCCATTCCTGTGCTTCCCACAGAGGCCCAAGACCACACCGAGCCTCTGGAGCTTCTGGCTGTGCGAATTCACCTAGAAAATGTGACCCTGCTGAATCCAGACCCCAAGAAGGGCCCCAAGGCTGGGCCGGCTGTATGGCTCAGCTGGAAGGTAAGGATGAGGGGTTACAGCCAATCTAAAGCTCAAAAGAGGGCTGTCTTGTGCTCCTGACCCCCACTCTTCCTTCGGCTTCTTCCCAGGTGAGTGGTCCTGCTGCACCTGCTCAGTCCTACACAGCCTTGTTCAGGGCCCAGGCAGCCCAGGGAGGTCAGAAAGCTCCATGGGCAGAGGTGCTGCTGGATGGCTGGCAGAGCGCAGAGCTTGGGGGACTCCACTGGGGCCAAGGCTATGAGTTCAAAGTGAGACCATCCTCTGGCCGGGCTCGAGGACCTGACAGCAATGTGTTGCTCCTGAAGCTGCCAGAACAAGGTCAGAGAAAGATCCTCCCAGGACTCAACAGCATTCCTCCCCTGGGGCCCTTCTTGTGGGGGCCTCTCCAACTCTAGTCTGGAGGAGATGATAATATCCTTTCTCCTTGGCCGGGCACTCAGAGCTGAAGAAGGTGCTATCCTTCTCAGTGGGGCTCTGACTCTGTATTCCCCATTCCAGCTCTTTTCCCTAGAAGAGTCCTGAGGGATCAGCACCCCTTATAGTCTGTCTTCCTTCCCTCCAGTACCCAGTGCCCCACCCCAGGAAGTGACCCTAAAACATGACAACAGCAGCATCCTAGTGAGCTGGGTCCCACCACCTGCTGAAAACCACAATGGCATCATCCGTGGCTACCAGGTACTTCCAAAGTGTACGCAGCCTTTCCTAGCCCAGCAACACGCCCTTCAACGCTATGGTTCTCCATAGTCTCACTCTGGCCACTGAGAAGAGAACCTGTGCAGAAGAGCAAAGGGACTTTACTATTGTTAAGCAAGGGTCTACTGTCTGCCATACCTGCCAAGCACTTGACCTCCACTGTCTCATTTCAAAATCCACCTGGGTTGTGATCCCCATTTACACATGGAAAGTGAGGCTAAGGTCACAGATACAAGAAATGGGACAGCGATCTACTAGGCAGTGTCAGACTGTAAGCCTTCAAGCAAGGGGTGCTTAAAAGTGTAGTTCCTGGACTGCCAATATCAGCATCATCTAGGAGGTGTTAGGAATGCAGAGTCTCAGGCTCTTTCTCAGCCCCCTGAATCAGAAATGCATGATGAGCTTGACCATCTGTGGTTTATAAAGGGTCCAGGTGCTTCTGAAGCACTCTGAGGTTTGAGAATCCCTGGTCCTGGGTGTATTTTAATAGATTACTTTCGCCCTTTTCTGGAGAAAAGTCCCTCTCACTTGGTAGAAAAGTGGGAAATAGGAAATTGGAGCACGGGGAGGAGGGTCCCCGGGTGAATGACAGGGTAGAGGACCAGGTGCCCAGAAGCTGATCTGTAGATGAAGGGCTCAGCTGCTCACCTTTGCCTATGTCCCAGGTCTGGAGCCTTGGCAACGCCTCATCGCCTCCAGTCAACTGCACTGTCGTGGGGGCGCAGACCCAGCTGGAGATCGACACCCGGATGTCAGGCTCCTACTGTGTGCAAGTGGCTGCAGTCACTGGGGCTGGGGCTGGGGAACCCAGTACCCCTGTCTGCCTCCTTTTAGGTGAGGGCAGTGCCCATGGGCCCCACCCTTCAGTGCTCAGACCACCCGCTTCTCTCCCTATTCCTACCTCATACTTTAGCCCCACCTTCTTGTCTGCTAGACTCTCGCTGCCTCACCTTCCCTCCTCTGAGCTCCACATTCTCTACAGAGCAGGCCATGGAGCGATCAGCTCAGGAACCCAGTGATCACGGTCCCTGGACCCTGGAGCGGCTGAGGGCCACCTTGAAGAGGCCAGAGGTCATCGCCAGTGGAGGTGTCCTGCTCTGGCTACTGCTGCTGGGCATTGCAGTGTGCATCTACCGCCGGCGCCAAGCGAGGGTACACATGGGCCCAGGTGAGAGGGGAGGTCCTGTGTGTTCAGGTCTCTCCTGGGTCCAGCTGGGAAGCTGCAGGCGGATTAGGCCTCCGGGCAGGCGATGGCACCGCTGCATTTAGCCTTCTTCCTGCCTTCTCCCAGGTCTGTACAGATACACCAGTGAGGACGCCATCCTAAAACACAGGTGAGAGATGAAAGGGGAGGGCTCTGTGGGGGGTGGGAGTCAAGAGACAGTGGAGGTGGGGCCAAGAACTGAATGAAGTGTGAGTCTGTCCTACTGCCAGGCAGTTTGAGACCTGAGGACTGGAGGACTCCAAGTTACAGGTCATTTTTCTTTCACTAGTTTTGGCGGCACCGCTTGACACCTGAGCAGGCTGAGTCACAAAACTTAAGTGACCTTGACAAGGCCTCACAGCTAGTAGATGGCCTTCCCGACCCCTCTGGGCCGATGTTCTTGTCTCTCACCTCTCCGCAACACACAGTTCACTGTCCTGCTGCCTCTCTCTGCTAGGCGGAGAGTAACTGGTAGGAGGTGACTCCCTCAATGCTTAGTTTTTTCTCTGTACCTAGAGTTTACCTAGTGCCTTTGGGGTCTGAATTGTCATGACCTACCCACCTACCCAGCATGTAGTGTCTTATCCCTAATCACAGATTTTCTACTTGTTCAAAACAGCCAGCCTATATGGACTGCTGCTTCAAATGTTTGGCTGCCGAAGCCAGGCTGGGTTTGTGAGATAAGATACTAAGAAATAATACAATAATACATTCTCTCTTTTTTTTTGACTGGCTGGGATTTACACTAAAAAGTCATTTCAAGTCAGGCATAGCGCACATGCCTATAATCCCAGCACTTTGGGAGGCTGAGGCAGGAGTATCACAAATTCAAGGCCAGCCTGGAGACTTAGCAAGACCCTGTCTCAAAATAAAAAAAAAAAAATAGAAAGGTCTGGGATATAGATCAGTGCAAAAGCCCTGGGTTCAACTTCCAGTATTGCAAAATATTGCAATTTCATCTCTCCGGGACTACCTTGTTCCAAATAAGTTTATCGAGTACCTGCTGTGGGTTAGAGATAGCCAGGCCTTGGGCTGCCATTTTGTCATCACTTGCTTATTAGTCCAGAGCAAGGTTCCAAGTTGGCTGGCACTGTTTCTGGTTTTTCTGTGCTTATCAGCTTCCAGCCACCACCTGGGCTGTCTTCTTTGCCCTAAACTTTTTCTGTTTCCCCTGAGATCCTCTATCTGTCCCTGAGGAAGACTCCATTATGATGCTTTAGTTTATTCATTTCTTTTTTCTTTTCTTTTTTTCTTTTTTTTTTTTTTTTTTTTTTTGGTACCGGGTATCAAATTCAGGAACTTGCACTTGCAAAGCAAGCAGCAGAACCACTGAGTGAAAATCCCCGGCCCTGGCTCATTCATTTCTTGGCAGTCATCTCCATCTACCAGGGACCTTCCGTATAGGCAGAGACTGGCATGACAGCAACCTTGCACTGGCAGCACAGAACCATGTGCAAGATATGTGGACGGGACTGGGGAGAAGCACAGGAGAAATAAGATTCCACATGTACCTTGACAGTAAGAAAGTGAAAAGCAGATGGTAACAGCAGGAAATATCTCTCTGTGTCTAGGGAAACACAGCCATTTGGTCTGGCTTGGGCATGAGGTATGAGATGGGTCATAGTAAAGGATAAGGTGGAAGCTAGAAGACAGATTAAAGAAGGCTCTGTCAGACAAGCTGGGCAACTGGATTCTGTATTGGTAAATAGGGAGCTACTGAAGGTTCTAAGCAGAAAAGTACATTAGGCAAATCTGTGAGGCAGCTGGCAGCTGACATCCATGTAGCAAGCTCCTGCTCTACCAGCTAAGTGATCTCACATTTTCTTATTTAAATTCACAGCATCAGTTTATGTGGAATGTCTTGTTGCCATCTTACAAAGAAAGAGGCACTGAGAGAGGCACACGGATTTTTGCCTGGGGTCGTACAGCATAAACTGCGGCCGATAAGGATTTTCATAGGTTTTCCTGGCTCCGGGATCTGCTCTTTTCACCTCACCATCCACAGTTATTTCTCTTTAACTTCTCCTAGCTCTAGGCAACTTGGACTTTCCCTGATCCCAGGCCAGAAAAGGGTGTTGAATTTGGGGCATGAGGTCAGAGCCTTCAAAAGTCTATGAAGGGAGCCGGGCGTGGTGGCGCATGCCTGTACTCCCAGCACTCAGGAGGCTGAGGCAGGAGGATCACTGTAAGTTCGAGACCAGCGTGGGCTACATAGTGAGTTTGAGGTCAGTCTCAACTACATAGTGAGACCCTGTCTCAAAAAACAAAACAAAACAAAAGTCTATGAAAGGCCAAAAAGTAGATGATACTACTGTCCTCGACTCCTCTGCCATCTTCTGAGCCAGGGGTCTTGCCCAGTTAGATTGCCAATCGCACTGTGCTTCTCTCCCCGCCTCTGTTCACCACTGCCCCAGGATGGACCACAGTGACTCGCCCTGGCTGGCAGACACCTGGCGATCCACCTCTGGCTCTCGGGACCTGAGCAGCAGCAGCAGCCTCAACAGCCGGCTGGGAATGGACCCTCGGGACCCACTAGACTGCCGGCGCTCCCGTGAGCACACCTTGTGGGGACAGGGATCCCAGGAGGGAGCTCAGGAGGTGGGGTGTGACATGTTCGCCATAACTCCTGTTGTTTTCATTGCAGTGATCTCCTGGGACCCCCGAAGCCCCGGGGTGCCCCTGCTTCCAGACACCAGTACTTTTTATGGCTCCCTCATCGCTGAGATGCCTTCCAGCCCACCAGCCCGGCCAAGTCCTCAGGCGCCAGCTGCCAGGCGCCTCCCTCCCCAGCTGGTCCGGACCTCCAGCCCCTGGCCCAGCTCAGACAGCCTATGCAGCCGCAGGGGCCTGGCCTCTCCACGTGTGTCTCTGGGCCCTGCAGAGGCTTGGAAGGCCAAGAAGAAGCAAGGTAAGGAGAGGCTGGTGGTAGGATGGACCAAGAGTGGGAATGTGGTGGGAACTAAGCCTGATGGCCTCGAGGCCCAAACAGGGTGTGGCTGTGGCCCCACGGCACCCCCTCGCCTCTCTCAGAAGACACTGGGCCTTGTTTCCCACACTTCAGGAGTGCGCACACCCCAGCTTGTCTTTACAGGAGTGGGCCATTTTTGTAGCCAGTTCAGCTCCGTGAACATTGAATAAGCACCACCTCATGGCAGACAGGAGGGTGCAGGAGATATGGGTGACAGCCCTCTGTGGGCTCCCCATCTGATGAAAGTGCTGCCCAGCACAAAGTAATGCTGAAGCCTGGCAGAACACGGCCAGTGCTGTCAGGAAGCCTGGCTTTCTCATCACCTATGCATATCTACTGGGCACTGTTACCCAGCACACTTCTGGGGAAAGAAGGGGCACAGTCTGCCCTCCACATTGACAGCTTCCACATTCAGACTCAACCATCGCTGAATTGAAAATATTGGGAATAATTCCACCTGTACTGAACATGTGCAGACTCCTTCTTTGTCATTATTCCTTAAACAATACAGTGTCATAACTATTGACCTTGCGTTCGATATTACAAGTACTCTAGAGATGATTTAAAGTATACAGAAGGATGTGCAAAGGTTATCTGCAAATATGATGCCACTTTGTATGAGAGATTTAAACCTCCTTGAATGTTCATGTCTGTGGGGATCCTGGAACCAATCTCCCATGATACCAAGGGGAAATTGTATTTCCTTTCTGGGCAGATTTCTTTACTGACTGGTGAGGAGGGAAAACAGCTGCCTGTTTTGACTTTCCAGAGAGGACTAACTATAGTCTTTAGATAACAACTTTTTATCTGTTTAGTGCTTTATTTTTTTTTGATCATTTAGATATTAGAGTATTTGTCTAATTTTACAGATAGCAAAAGAAGGTCAGAATGGGTAGGTAACTTATTCAAAGTCCCACAAGCTAAAAGCTGTAGAGCTCAACTTGGAAGCCAGTAGCCTCTACTTCTGAAGGCTGCTCTTAATCCCCCTGAAGCTCCTTGAGGAAATCCACTTCTATCCTAGGCTGCCACTTCCTCTTTCTGGCCTGCAGAGACACAGCCCTGCTCTCCTCTTGTTGTTTTCGTGAGTTGTCTGTAGTGAGCAGCAAGATCTACAGCCATTTTTTTTTTGGTACCAGGGATCAAACTTGGGTCCTTGCGCTTGTGAGGCAGGCAGCAGAACCACTGAGCTAAATCCCTGGCCTACCAATTCTTTTAAGTGCATACAATCCAAATTTATTAAAACAAAGATGGATTAAAAGTAATTAAAAGCTTGTTTAGCCAGAATTTTATAACTCTAACTACTAGCAAAGCTGACATTCTTTCTAGTTCTGCCTTAGAGTTACTGCATTATAAATCCTGGTTAGTAATGAAGCACCAATTAAAAAGAGATGGAATGAAGAGTTGAGTGTGGTGACACATGCCTGTGATCCCTGCATTCAGGAAGCTGAGGCAGGAGGATCACCGTGAGTTCAAGGCCAGCCTGGGCTACATAGTAAGTTCCAGGCCAGCTTGAACTACATAGTGAGACTCTGTCTCAAACAAATATACAAATGGGTGGAACGAGTCTCATCTTAATGGCTTTAATGTAACATACAGTTCCTCTTAGAATATTAGGTGAGGGATTTTCTACAGCCAAACCTCCGCTCTTCCCTCTTCCTCTTCCTTCTATTCCTTTACCTCCTCCTCTTCCTTTTCCTTACCCTTTCCCTTTCCCCTTCCAATCCCCATTTTCCTTTTCTTCCCCCTCCTTCTCTTCCTCTTCCTACTTCTCCTTCATGCTGGGGATTAAACCCAAGGCCTTGAACTCTACCATGAAGCTGCACCCCAGCTCTCCAGCTAATTCACAAGCCATTTCCAATTCTGAAATGAGGCTTAGATCCTCCTCTCACCCTCTTTCTCCTAACATCAGCCCTCTTTCCTCACTGCCCCAGGATGGATCAACTGTAGTCACACCCCTGGACTGGGGGACACTTGATCTTCCACCTCTGGCTCCTGGCACCTTGGTAGCAGCAACAAGATCATACTGTGACCTTGTCCAAAGCCACAGGGCTTGATTCTACTGCTGCTGCCTAGTCCAAAAAGGTGGCATTTCTTCTACTTCTAAAACTGGCATTCTTTCTCAGTGCCTCTGCTCCCTCTGATCTGCTTTGTAAAAAAATGATTTGACCTTATTTTGTATTTTTTTCCTTCACTATTGATATTCTTAAAACTGCACTCTTCTATCTCTCACCCATTATATCAGGTGCTTAGGCCCTTTTTGCTAGATATGTGCACTAAAAAGCATCATTCATTCGTTAGTCCATTCCAAATATACTTAGAGCAACTCAGGTATGTCCAATGAGATTTGACCTTGATAACATTTTTATTGTACAGTTCATTCGAGAAGCAGTGAAGCTAAAATCCAAGTAACTCCAGGCAAGGTGGAAGGAGGCCTTTTGTTGCCAAAGTCCCTTGTAGAAAATGAAATGGGCTGGGATAAATATGGCCTTTTCCAGGCCTGTATTTTCTCATTTCTTTTCCACTCATGCCAACCAGCCAACATATGGTCACATTTCATAGCTTAGTCAAGGAGCCAGGCATGGACAATAGAAAGCTGATGACAGCAGAGTTAGATCACCAGCCTTGAAGCTGGTCTCCAGGACTCCCTAAGTCATGTGAGAACTAAAGAATACATATAAAAACAAAAACAGCCTAAGTAGAAAAGGAAACTTTAATGGAGGAAGTCTAGCCTTTATGTGGATTTTTATCCCACTGGATCAGAAGTTCAGGCCACTGGTACATGGACTCCCACGTTGGGACTGTGCATTCACTCATTTATCCAACAAATATTACTGAATAACTCTGGACAGCAACTTGTCTCCCTAGGTGAGACTAATACATTTTCCTCTTCTGAAGTTCCTCTTCCTGTCAACCGAGTCTGTCTGGTCTCATCTTGTACGGTCTGGGACTTCCTATTACTGTCTTACTCATTCAATTTGATGGTCCAACCTACCTCTCCAAGTGAAAGACATTCAGGGAAGGGAAGAGCTGTCAAGAATCATGAGATATTTGCAATGCAAGAGATGGAAATTGTTAACAGATTCTCTCCAAGAAAAGGAGTGTTTGCCTTCAGACAGCCAAAACTCAGGAGGAGAGTAGCACTGTGAAGGAATAGAGATCAGGAAGATTGGAATGGAATACAGTACAGTGAAGAAAAAGAAAGTACCTATTATTTGCCAGTCACTTTGGAATGTTTCCATTTAATCCTCAAAACCATTATTTGAAGCGATTGTTTACAAAATGAACCTGAGGCTCGGCAAGGTTAATGAGCCTCTTGAGGTTACACAGCTGAGAAGGGATTTTGACTCTAAGCCCACTGCCCCCTTCCATCCTATCACAGCTGCCTGGATGAAGATGGGGTAGGTGGAGAGGATTGGTGGATGTTCTTCTTCTTCTGTTCTGGGTTCAAGGTCCTGCTGGGTGAAATGAATAACAAGGGTGAAGATGCAGCCTCGAGTTGGGGTCTGAAAGGTTCTCCTCTGGCTTGTCCCTGACCACCAGCTCTCTCCTTTGCAGAACTGCACCAAGCCAACAGCTCTCCCCTGCTCCGAGGCAGCCACTCCTTGGAGCTCTGGGCTTGGGAGCTGGGACACAGAGGCTCCAAGAATCTTTCCCAAAGCCCAGGTGAGAGGAGACCCTGAGAGGAGAGGGAAGGGTGGGGAGGCAGGCTGCAGGGGCCCAGGCCTCTATGCAGGGCTTCTCCTGTGTCCCCACAGAGGCTGAGTGAGCCGGCTGGGGGACAGTAGTTGAGGGGGCAGGATGGGGGGGCCAGTTGGCTGGGGTCTGGACTGAAAGAGATTGTGCCATTCTCAGGCCCAGGCTCCTGTTCCCCTGGAGCTGTGCCGGGGGCTCTGGTGGCCTGGCGGGCCCTGGGACCTCAGTTCCTCTGCAATTCCAATGAGCTAGCAACTCGTCCTCTCCCGCCAGTCCCTCTCTCTCCTGGCAGAGCCCTCACTCAGAGTCCACAGAACCAGTAAGAGTGCAGGCGGGTGTGCTGGGGTTGGGCAGGGGGTGGGAAGGGGTGGACAGAGACCCAAAGGGCAGTACTAACCCTCCTGCTGTCCCTCCCTTCCCCCAACCAGGCCCTCAGGGGAACCTGAAGCTTCCACCCCCCTCCCTGGCCTTAGCCTCCCCAGGCCTCCCAGCCCCCAGGCCTCTTCCCTCTCTGGTCTCAGCCCAGCTTCCAGCCACCTGTCCAGCTCTTCGCTGTCCTCTCTGGGGGAGGATCAGGACAGTGTGCTGACCCCTGAGGAGGTGGCCCTGTGCCTGGAACTCAGTGAGGGTGAGGAGACGCCCAGGTGAGTGCCTGAGAGATGCCAGAGAGCTTCAGGAGAACGCGCTCGAATGTTTCTGCCACTCTTCCCTAACCATTGCACCGTCTCCCTCTGCCTAGGAACAGCGTCTCTCCTATGCCCAGAGCACCTTCGCCCCCTACAACCTATGGGTACATCAGCATCCCGACAGCCTCAGAGCTGGCAGACATGGGCAGGGCTGGAGGAGGGGTGGCGTCTGAAGTGGGGGGCTTGTTGTGCACACCTCGGCCCTGCCCCACCCCCACCCCCAGCGAGGGCTCCCTGGCCAATGGCTGGGGCTCAGCCTCTGAGGACAACGCCCCCAGCGCCAGAGCCAGCCTGGTCAGCTCTTCCGATGGCTCCTTCCTCGCTGATGCCCACTTTGCCCGTGCCCTGGCCGTAGCTGTGGATAGTTTTGGTTTGGGTCTGGAGCCCCGGGAGGCCGACTGCGTGTTCACTGGTATGTGAGATCTCCCGTCTTACTCCTCTCCCCTCCTTGGGGTGAACACAGCTCCTGGGAGACCTCCCTTCTCCCTAGTAAGAGGCAAGGCTCCCTGAGTAAGAGGCCAGCTTTATCCTCATTAAAATAGCTAGCTTTTTTTGAGGGATTGCTGTGTCTTAAGTAGGAGAATTGGGGCCCAGGATGCAGCTCAGTGGCACAGCACCTGCCTGGTAAGCTGAAGGCCCTTAGTTCCATTCCCAAACCAACCCCCCCGCAAAAAAAACAAAAAGAAGTAAGAGAACTGATTTTTTGTTTTGTTTTGTTTTCCTTTTCCAGTACCAGGGATCAAACTCAGGACCTTGCACTTGCCAGGCAGGCGAGGTACCAAATCTCTGGCCCTGTGAGACCAGGTTTCACTATGTAGTTCAGCCTGTCCTTGAACTCAAGTTGCAGAGATCTTCCTGTCTCAACCTCCTGAGCCTTGGGATTACAGGCATGGCCTACCACACTTAGCTAGGAGAACTGCTTTATGTGCATCATATCAACAACTCCATGAGGAATATTCTTTTTTGAAAATCATTTTCGGTTTTCTAAAAACTGATACACATGTGTAGTATATAATGTGTACTTCCCTTGTGGGAAGTTGGTGTAGTGCATAACACATCTTAATTCTTTTTTCATCCCCTTTTACTCCCTTCCATCCTCCCACTCATCCCTTGATGCCCTTCCTCCTCCTCCTCCTCCTCACGTTAGCAATACCTAACATTTACATTCCTTGTGTGGAATGACACATCCCAATTCCTTTTTCCATCCCTTATCTCTTGCCTCCTTCCCCTTCCATTTCTTAATCCCCCTCCCCTTTGAAAAAGATCTATCTCCCTACTCCCTATTACCTATTATTTTGCTCTTTATTTTTACTCTGGATTTCTCACATAGGAGAAACCATGTGATAAGCTTGTGTGTCTATTTCACTTAGCTTTATGGTCTCAAGAAAAATCCATTCTCCTACAAATGATACAAGTTTATCTTTATGGCAGAGTAGTGCTCCATTGTGCATAAATACCACACTTTCTTCACCCATCTGCTGATGAACATATGGGCTGCTTCCAAGATTTAGCTATTATGAATTATGCTGCTATAAACATGGGTATGTGTGTATCACTGTAGTATGATGTCTTTAACTCTTTCAGGAAGACACCTAGAAGGTGAATAGCTGGGTCACGTGGAATTTCTAGTTTTAGTCTTTTGAAGGATCTTCATGCTAATTTCCAGAGCAGCTGTACTACTTTACACTTGCACCAACAGTGTAGCAGGGTTCCTTTTCCCCCATAGCCTCTCCAGCATTTGTTATTGTTGATTTCTTCATGTCTGCCATTCTTTCTGGGGTAATCTAAATGTTGTTTTAATTTGCATTTATCTAATTGCCAGTAATGTTGAGAATTTCATCATGTATTAGCCATTCATACTCCTCTGTGAAGTGTCTATTCATTTCACTTGCCCATTTTTGTTTTATTTTGGGGGGACTCCAGTTTTTTGGAGTTCTTTATATATTCTAAATATGAGCCCTTTGAGAAATGGCTGGCAAAATTTTTTCCATTCTGCAGACTGTCTCTTCACTCTATTGGGGTTTTCCTTTCCTTTCCTTTTTCTTGCTGTGTAGACATTTTTAATTTACTATGGTCCCATGTATTGATTTTTGGAATTATTTCCTATGCAACTGGGGTTCTATTTAGAAAGTCCTTGCCTATACCAGTGACTTCAAGGGTTTTACCTACATTGTCCTCGAGCAGGTTGTGTGTCTGGTTTAATATTCAGATCCTTGATCCATTTTGATTTTAGTTTAGTACATGGTGAAAGATGGGGTCTAGATTCAGTCTTCCTCATGTGGATAGCCACTTTTCCCAGCACCATTTTTTAAACAGGATGTTTTCCCCCAGTCATAAGGAATATTCTTTGCCACTCTTTTTCAATTCATGAAACTATAAGTCAGATAAACTTATTAGTTTGCCCAACATCACCCCCAGAACAAGGAGCAGTTGTCCATTTCTAGCCTGTAGACACCAACTCCTGCCATTCTCTTCATGCCCCTGCCTTCAGGGCTCCACCCTAACTGGACATGGTTCCTAGGGAAGGTCCTTCCATCCCATATTTCATATGCCTCCTCATCGTGCTGTGCACCCAGCTCTTCCTCCTGCTCTGCCTGTGACTGCGGGACACACTTCTGTGTGTCTAGCAGAGTGGGCCTGCTGTTTGCATGTCAGCAGAAGGTAGCTCAGGACTCACCAGCTCCTTTTGTGTTCCCTATCCCATATGACCTGTCGGATACCCCAAGCCCATCTTACTAAATCTACCCTTCACTCTGAAGAAAAACAACTAGGCTTTAAATGAGAGGGCAAAGATGACTCAGAAAGAAGTGCCCCTGAGGAGGGAGGAGGAAGATGTGTAGGGAATGAAACAGTAAATGGAGAGTATGGAGTCAAGCAAACAGCCCAAGCTATTCTCTGAAGGAAATGATGAGCTGGGCAGCACACATCTCAGAATTCTGGGAGTCTGAGGCAGGAGGACTGCAAGTTTGAGACCAGCCTAGGCAACTTAGTGAGATCTTATCTCAAAAATTAAGTAAAGAAGTAAGAAAGTAAATAAATAGGTCTTCAGATGTAGCTCAGTTCAAAAGCCCTAGGTTCAATTCTAACATAGAGAGAGCAAGAGCAAGAGACAAGAGGAAGAAGAGCGGGGGTGGAGAGGAGGGAAGGGAAGGGGAAGAGAAAGAGATGAAGGTTTGCAGCTACCAAGACTGGTGCGCTGAACTGGGGCTAGGTTATGTTAGAGCTGGGTATATACTCTAAGCCGATCCTAATCTTTCTTCCCTAAATTCAATCTAGAGGCTGAAGGTCAGCCCCCACAAACAACTCTACTCTCCCTGACAGATGCCTCATCACCTCCTTCCCCACGGGATGACCTCTTCCTGACACCCACCCTTTCCCTGCCATTATGGGAGTGGAGGCCAGACTGGTTGGAGGACATAGAGATCAACCACACCCAGCAGACAGGAAGAGGGCTGCCTCCTTGGACCCCTGACTCTGGCATCTCTTCCCAGCAAAGTCAGCTCAGCCGTCCTGTGCCCAAGGCTGGTGGTGAGTGTCTGGCTGTCTGGCTAATGCGGAGATCTTCACATGAGGGGTCCTGGGGGAGGAACCAAGAGGAAGCCTGGGGTCTGGCAGGAAAGGTAGGATCAAGGGAGATAACTCTGCTCTCCTTCAACTCCCTACTACAGATTCCTCCTGAACTGAGTTCCTGAGATAGCCAGAAGGACATCAGAGCCCCGCTTCCCATCTGCTCACAAGGCCTGGCCCGTGACCTACGTTTCTCTGCCTTCAGGAGAGTTCTCTCACCAAGATTGCTTAAAAAAATAAAAAGGAAGGAAGGAAGGAAGGAAGGAAGGAAGGAAGGAAGAAAGAAAGAAAGAAAGAAAGAAAGAAAGAAAGAAAGAAAGAAAGAAAGAAAGAAAGAAAGAAAGAAAGAAAGAAAAAGAAAGGGCAAAGCAGAACTGGAGCTTTCTGGAAGCAAAACATCACCTCCACTTGACCCCAGGATTCTCTCTCCTCATAGCCACTCCCACAGCCTGGGCCTTTGGCTTAAGGAGCAGCTCTATCTCCTGTTCTCCTCACCCTCAACGATCATGGGAATTGGGCAGCCAGAGGGATCACCACAGAGGACAACAGCGGCTGGTCAGAGAGGGCAGTGGAAGAGAGCCACCTCTCTCAGCCCTACCTAGGCCCCTCCTCTAGGGGGTCAATGTACCCCTCTCCCCAGCCCTATTATGTAAAGAAAAAAAGAGGAGGAATGTGGTTCTACCTAGTGCCAAGGCCAAGGGTGCAAGGCTAGGTCTAGGGAGGAAGCTAAAGAGAGGTAGGACAACAGCACCCTCTTAATCCTGTTGTCACTTTCAGCTTCTAGAACTTGATGCTATAAAACTGTAAAGACTTGAGCTTTGTGAGATCACTTCCTGGGGCATCATTTTGAGCAAGGTACCTGGATGGCAAGAGATACCTGTGTTAGGAAGGGACTGAGCATTCATTGACATTTGGAGAGTCTCCCTCATTTCTGCTCTGAAGTTGCAGAGGGCATGAGATGTATCCACAAGATTTTAAGCAGAATCTACTAAAGGGAGTGATGGGAGAGTTTCAGGATCTGCTGACTCTGGCAATTTATTCTAAGAAGACAATGCTTGCTTTCTGCAGTCCTGGCCCCTCTCCTCAAAGACGAGTCCCAGATGGTTTCTTAAAAATACACAAAGCTAAATTCCAAAAAGGTAGAACCATGATGGCTGGCTAGTGAATACTCTTCCAATAAAACATGAGAGCAGAGACATGAATGTGGGTGTGGGCCACTGGAAGCTAAAGGGGGGACAGGTCGGCCTGTGTTCACACATGGCAGGAAAGGTCAGGGGTTGAATCTACAAGCTGAGGCAGGGGCTGCTGCAGAGTATGACCAGGGTCACAGGAACCTGCCTCTGGAAGGGGAGGTGATCCAGAAGCAAGCCCTGCAAGGAGGTTCTAGTCCTCCAATCCCAGATTCCACTCTGAGTTTGGAAGCCAAGTGTGTTGGACAGGGGCCTGGGTGCTGTGTTCATCAGGCCAGTCTGAACTGGATTTTCATAACCATAGGAAGAATCGGTATTTCAGGTACACATCCATTCTATTTTCTTTACCTTTTGGGGATTTTTTTTCTTTTGGCTTCCTGGTAAAATTCCTTTTGTAAACACTGTAACCCTGTTTTCCAGCCTGAAAGAGAAAGAGGGATTTGCACACATTTAGGTCAACCTGGAGGGTGAGGTTGGAGCTAGAACTTGGAGGGCAGAAGCCATACTCCAGGGTCCAGGGCAGTCACCAAGCCAAAGGTGGAGCAAGGGAAAAGGAAACAATTCCTCAGGCAGCCAATGAGTAGGCTGTGGTGTGTGAGTGATGGGGACTGTGGCCTTGTGGCCAAATAGATTTTTTATTTCTATCAGCCAAATCAATCTCCTGGGCCCAGACTGGTCAAGAGGTGCCCGTTTGCAGACATCCTCTGTGTGGGAGTCCCGGATATGCAGAAACATGCACCTCTGAAGGTGAAGCAGGTGTCCTTTCACTGGCTCTTTGGAAAGGTCCTGGGATTACACCGGGACCATGGGTTTCAGTTCTTTAGGAGGCAGAACAAGTCAGTGTCTCCTAGTGTTTGTCTTCGCTTAGTACTTTTGACAGAAGTTCAAGGGGACACAGAATCTACTGGTGTGCACGGACCTACAGACTCCCCAATGGCCCCCTTCTTCCCGACATGCTGTGCAAAACAGACAGGAGGTCCAAGGTTTAGATCAGACCCTCTTTATTGTCCCTTACACAATCAGGTCTCAGAACATGATGCAAATGGAAGCGCTCTCTGGCTTGCTGGCTTCCAAACCAGTTGAAGCTATTGAGGCCAACGGGCTTCTGAGAACCACAAGCATCACTGCAGGAGGGAAGAGGGCTCCGCCCAGCTCCTCTTGGTTCACACCAGAGAAGGGGCCCCCACCCTTCCTCCAGGACTCTCTATACTCTCATTACTTCATGAGGGTCATCTTGGTTCCTGGGGACAAAGACAGAGAGAGGCTGGCTGTTTTGTAAAGCCCTCGGCTAGGGTAAGCAGGCCAAAGAAAGAGATCAGCCTTTCTCCTAATCAAACCCTCCTGTGAATACCTGGTCCCTTCTCTAGGTTGAGTCATCTTGTCCTCTTCCTTTTCTTTTCTTTTCTTTTCTTTTTTTTTTTTTTTTTTTTTTTTTTTTTTTTTTTTTTTTTTTTTTTTGAGACAGGGTCTCGCTATGTAGTTGAGACTGACCTGGAACTCACTATGTAGCCCAGGCTGGTCGCAAATTCACAGCGATCCTCCTGTCTCAGCCTCTTGAGTGCTGGGATTACAGGCATGCGCCACCACACCCAGCCTCTTCCTTTTCTTGTGTGTTTACTTTTCACATACTGGCGATTAGACTCAGGCCCTCTCCCATGCTAGGCACACACTGTATCACAGAGAGTAAGTCATCAGGCATGCACCCCCACATTTTTCCCTCTCGTCATTTCTTCTAGAGGACTTTCCCCTCTCACTGAGTCTCCTCCTTTTGACCTCTTCCCCAGGCCCTTTCCTACCTCCCTGTTTTCAGTCACCTGTTGCTCTGCCCTCCCTAGCCTTCAGCTCTCTACTCCCTGGTTCTCACCTCTTGACATTTCTGCCCTGGCCTTTGGCTCTGGCTTCTGCTCCGGCTCTGGCTTCGGCTCCGTCCAGGGCCCCTGGAGCCCCGAGAGCTGCCGGAGCCCCTGGAAGAGTTGCTCCCAGCTGTGGAACAGGTGCTGGTGCCTTGGCCACGGGACAGGAAGCTTGGCCTGCTATACGGGAGCCAGACCCCTTCTGCAGCACAACAGAGAAGGGCAGCTGGGCCCAGGAAGAGGCAGCTCATCCCTGCTCACCTACACACCACACCCTAACTGCCATCCCAGCTCTGGGAGAAGACCAAGGGGCAGGCGCTGGGCTAAGAAGCAGAATGCCCAGGGCATGGCCTCGACATAGCATGGGCTCAGGAGTATGGGGGGTGGCTCTGAAAAGGAGAGAGCCCTGGGGAAAGGAGGACAGAGCTCCCAGACCCCACTCTTCTCTTGTTCTGGGCTTCAGTCCTGAGAAAAGACACATCTTGGGTTTGCTCAGAGACAGCTGGAGAGATGAGTCTTTGACACTGACCAGATATAAGAACCCAACTGAAGGTGAAGGGTGATTTGGATGCCACCTAGATCAGCCTCCAATCCCTCCAGCCATCTAGGCCGTCCTTACCATCCTGGTGGGGTCCTCGCTGGGCCCCTGGGGGCACTGCCTGCAGCACTCTTCTTTCCCCACTGCGTTCCCGCTCCAAGGAGGACAAGCTGCCTGCTGCTCTCAGCCCCATGGCCCACCCTGCCTCATCCTCTGGTGGTGGCAGGGGTGGTGGAGGTAAGTCTAGGGAGAGACCAGTTTCAGCAGAATCTCATCTTCCTCTGACATCCCTCCCCCGAAACCAGGAGGCTGCAAATGAATGGCCCTTGATCTAGGTCCACCTGCCCCAGCTCCCAGAGCTCATTGCTGGTTTCTCGCTGCTCCCTCCCTCCCTCCCTGACTGTTCCCATCTACCAGGCCCAAGGATCCTCACCCCCAGGACTGTGCTCTCTCCTATAGGGAAGAGCCTTGGACTTCTTTCGGATTCGGGCACGGGGTCCTTGAAGTGGAGGAGTCATCTCCCCAGGCACCTGAAGAGTTCTTCCTGTAGCACCTGGGGATGGAGAGAGGACAGGCAAAGGAGGGGGTCAGGTAAGGGGAAAATAAGCACTGGAGGGGTACAGAGAGGAAGGGCAAGTGAGACTCTACAGACTCACCTGGGGCACTGCTGGCAGTGCTAGGAATGGGGCTGGGGCTGAGGTGATGGGAGGCTGTGGGGCCAGCACCCAGGCCAGCAGGCCTCCCTTCGTGGCTACTCAGAGTGGGCTGGGAGACACTGAGAGGGGAACTTGGCCCAAGGGGTGCCCTCCTGCAATGACATGAGGCCTCTGCATTTGTTCAGTCCACAAAAACTAAGAACTTTCCAGGCACTATGCCAGGCATCAGCCTAATACTCAGAAGGACAAGATCTAGCCCACTGTCCTACAAGGCCTCTCAAGCTAGGGGAGCTACAGGAGAGCCGTGTTTGAAATGCCTGGGAATGCTTGCCCTCACTCCAACAAAGAGCCAGGCCGAAGGGAACAAGAGAGTTGTCAGCCTGTGTATCCTTCCCATGTCACACTTCCACCCCGACACGGCCTGAGACCTCTGGAACCTAGATTCAGCTATCCACCCCCCCAGTCACTGGACAGGGATGTACAGAGGGCTTGTGATGTGTGAGGTCCACACACCTCCCTACCTGGGCATCTGATGGAGATGGGGAATGTCACTGGGGGGCAAGGGAGGGTCAGGTGGTGAGGGGGTAAGAGTGGCTGTGGACTGCTGTCCATAGGAGGGTGTAGGAGAGGGGGTTTCCCCTCTAGATGGAGCCATTGGGCACCCTCCACTCAAGCTGAGTTCAGTCAGGTGGCTTCTCTCAGGCATTGGTGGGCGCCACTCTTCTGACTCTGAGCTGGGGGCAAAGAGCAGGAGAAGAAGGGAAGGACCAAGTAGTTCCCATACCTATCCCTTGGACTTTCCATTGCCCCCCTTCCCTTCCTCTACCAGCATCTCTGTGCCTATTCCCTAGAAGGCTTCAGTGGGTCCGTGCATGGGGCACTGCAGCAGGCAACATCCTTACCTGCCCACCAGCTCCTCCTCAGGCCCCTCTGGGCAGCCAAGTTCACAGGAGGGAGGAGGTGGGGGCAGGGATTCTGGCCAGTTCAGAGAGGGCATCTGCACAGGTTTTCCCAGAAGCTTCACTTTGCCTCCCCTGGCTCCTGAGAAGAGAGATGGAGGCACACTGAGGATAACAGGAAAGAGCCAGAGATGAGACAACACATCAGAAGGAAGGGCTGGGCTGGTTGTGAGAGCCTCAGGGTGCAGGGTGCTCTGGAGAGGGCTAAAATGTGGGTATAAGGAATTGGGGTCATACCACCATCCCCTTGGCTCCATTCTGGAGGAGCATACTGGCTCCAGGTGCCTGGGTCCCCTGAGGGATGTTGGGGGAACCCCCCGTGGAAGGTCTGCAGCTCCTCCCCTGCTGGGTCTATGGTGCTGTAGACAGGACCCTCACCAGGGACAGCAGTGCCCCGGGCAGTCTGAGCCAGGTATAGGGAGATTCCTGCTTCTGAGGAGGAGAAAGAGGGAGGCCCAAGGGAGAAGGCAAGGGGCAGAGACAGAAAAACACAGGACAAGAGGAGAATGGAGAGCAAAGGGAGATCCCACTGATTCAATTTCCTCCCCACCCCAAACCTTATGTGCCAAGAGAAGGTGAAGGTCACGCCTGCCAGATGCTCCCCAACTCCCACTTGCCCCAGGACAGACCAACCTCGGGAAGACTGGGGCTCTTCAGTTGTCCCCAGTAGGCTGGGAGAGGGAGTGCACCTGAGGGTAGAACTTCTCACCGTTGTAGTATCTGTCCTCTGGGTCAGGGTTGCTGGGGCAGCAGCTTCCCCTGGTTTCCTGAGCTGAGGGGCTTCCAGAAGGGTGGGGCCAGGAGTCTGCCAGCCATGGGTAGTGGGCAGGGCTGAGGCCCATGGGTGGCCTGGCAGGGAGCAGATGAGAGTTAAGGATGGAGAACCTGAAGAGGTCAGCAAAGGTGAGGAAGGTGCAGTTGTCACAGTCATGGTGGTGTCGGGGGCAGAAGCTGGAGACTCTGAGCAGGGAAGCAGGGAGTGGCCTCTTGGCAGAAGCAGTTATCCTTGGGAGCAGTTAGGAGAATTACCTGGAACTGGCTCCAGAGAGGCCCTCTGAGTGCGGGAAGGACACTGAGGAAGATGAGGGGGAGAAGCAGTGAGAGAGGGCCAGTGTTGGGGGTCTGAACCCCACTGGGGCAGAGAAGGCTTACCTGCAGGTGTGTAGGCAAAGGAGGCTTCCGAAAAGGAACCCGTAGGAGAAAGAAGAGAGGAATGAGGCAAGAGGTCAAAAACACCCAATTCTTATCCACTCCTTGACTTGGTGCCAAGTCTACTGAACCAACTGCATCAGAACTCGGGTCTGGGGTCTCAGAACTGTTCTAAAGCTCCCCAAATAATTCCTGTACATAGCCAAGATTGGAAACCACTGACGGAGACTTCAGCAACTCTCCAGAGATGCCCCTCACTAGGAAGTAGCAGAAATCACGCCGCCTCTTTGCAGGGGACCTTCTTGCCATCCTGACCCTGGCTCACAATTTACTGTCTGGGATCCGGGCCACAAGCCTCAGGCCAGGTCCGCGCCTCCCCTGCCGAAACAGGCCTTCTACTTAACTGAGGCTGAGCTGCAATCCCTAGTACTCTCTTGTCCTGGTTTCTTAGCTCACAATTCTCCCTCTCCCCGAATCCGGGTCGGCCCACTCTTCGCCCTGCTCTCCTCCCAGCCACGTCGGGCACAAGGGGCCGCCGCCAGGCCCACCCACCCCTGCACCGGCTCCCTGCTGGTC